TTTTTGGCAGCTGGCTAGTATGGGGATCCAAACTTGTGACCTTGGTATTATTAGCACCACGCTCTCCCAAGTGAGCTAACCAGCCAGCCCCACGTACAAGTTTTTGTTTAAACACCTGCCTTCAATTTCTTTGGGTAAATACCTAGGATTGGATCATATGTTAATTCTGTTTAGCTTTTTGGGGAACTGCCAAACTGTTTTCCACAATGGCTGCATCATTTTATGTTCAAAATGTCCCGACCCGCGGGATATTCAACGCAGACCCTGGAGGGGGGAGTGGGAATTGGATGGGACAAGAGACATGAGAAATTGAGACAAGACAGTATTCTGATCAAGTCTCGTTTATTGGTTCTTAGGTTACATCTTATATAGGAGAAGGCAGGCATGCTGCAAAGGGTCTGGAATGTAAAGATATGATAATATCTTGAGGAGAGACAAAGACAGGACATTCAAAGTAAAGGTTGCCACCCAGAATGTTTATGGTTAAACAGTTTCTAGAGAAGGATAAAAGGTCACTTGCAAATTAACTTGCATAGCCAGGAGCAATCAGTTTCTGGCATAAAGATTTTGAGGCAGTTATCATGTAAAGCACGGCCATCTGAGCAGATTGTCACGTAGGAGTGGTCTCACAAGAAGGGGTGTGGGGCTTCAGGCTCCCAACACCTCAGGCTGCTTCTACTTGTGGCAGAAAGTGGCAAGCAGCTGGCAGGTACAAGCAGATCACACAGCTAGAGGAAGCAAGAGAGAGAAGCTCTCACATGAACTAATAGAGCAAGAACTCACTCATTAATCCTCCCTCCCCTGGGAGAGCATGAATCCATTCATGAGGGATCTACACCAAGACTAAATCAGTTTCCAACACTGCCACATTGGGGATCAGATTTCCACATGAGTTTTGGAGTGGACAACACATCCAAACTCCATCACACTCCTGTGTCCCTCAAGGTAGAACACACTGGTTTTCTGCAAACTAAAAGCCCAAGGTAGGTACTGCAGTGTTAGCCAGAGGTTAAATGGTTGTTAGTGACTTTCTCCTGGAGTTGTGGCTTTTCATTCCACAGAACTGGGAATAAACACTTGCTAAAACTTATGAAACTGTAACACCATGGTCAAGGGTTTGAATACTCACACCTTCCAATCACAAAATCAAAGACCAAACCAAACCATGAAACTGGACTGTCAATGAGAGCATTTCTTTCTCAGGACTCTGCAATGTGGCATGCCTTCTATTATCCTGCATTGTGTCTCGTCCATGAAGATGGACTGATATTCAGGACCATACATCTGGGCAAAATTCGGAAACAGGAGGAAGGAGAATACACATAGCCTAAGTGAGGGAAGCCCCTTCTCCTACCTCACATGGGAATAATATCTACATGAATTCCCCACCTACCTGGATTAATCCTGTTGTCTAACCTACTATCATCTAGGATCACAAGTCCAAAAACTCTTTAATCCTGGCCAGACATCAGTGGCCAGGATTAAAAATTATTCTTCCAGGCTTAGAGCTAGAATTGACAAGGTAAAGTAAGTGAACAGAGGATTGTAACAGAAAGTCCCTGCAGTTTTCAGGCTGCTTCAGCTGAGAGTGTGGTTGTATCCCAGCAGAAAAAATCTCAGAAAAGGGTACAGCATTTACTAATTGGCACTGACCTTCAGGGCAGGTATGGGCAACAGGAGGTGGGTTTTACTTGGTTTCTAGCCCCAGTTCAATAAGGAATCCTAGCTTACTAAAACCTACTTAGGGAGTTTCTGAATCTGTTATATGGCAACAATACCCCCATCCTGTCCACTTAACATAGGATTCTGAAGACCTCAAGAAAGAATATGTTAAAGCACTTTATAAACATGGCCTGAGGGCCGGCCCGGTGGCGCACTGCGCTAGTGCGCCGCTTGGGAAGTGCGGCGGCACTCCCATCAAGGGTTCGGATCCCACATACAGACCGGTTCCTGCTCACTGGCTGAGCGAGGCGCAGGGGCA